TGTTTTCAGACTACTAGGTTGGCAGAAGCTGGGGCTGACAGCGGAAGCTCACGCCGCTCCACGCATTTGATGCTGCAACTTTCAGTCAACAAGCTCAGCAGCACAGCAGTTTAACCCACTGCGCCACTGGGGGCTCCCAATAATAATACAAAATATAAAAATAACACAAAATTACCATCTCTCAGCTGCAAAAGGCCACCTTACTGGGATCTGTATGTATTATTCGCCGATACATCACAGTCCTAGACACTTGGAAAGTGTCTGACGTATGCTCCAATACAACAGCCAGCTTATACCAACTGCTAAGTTAGCAGAAGTTGGGGCTAACAGCGAGAGCTCACCCTGCCCCCAGATTCAGTCGGCAAGTTCAGCAACGCAGTGCTTTAACCCACTGTGTGCTCATTACCATTTCCTCAAACCAATGGCATGGACATCAATTATTATTTATTTACGACATTTATGCCGTCCTTCTCACCCCGAAGGGGACTCAGAATGGCTTACAAGATATATATACATAAAATACATTATATTATTAGAATAGTACAATATCAGTATTATCTATTACTATATTGTACTATATCATAATATTGTAATATTAGTAATATTACATGTAATATAAAATATATAATTATATTATATTTTATTAATTATAATGTGTGTGTGTGTGTATATATATATATATATATACACACACACACACAATATATACACACACATACACAGGTTGAACTCTACAGATGACAGTACTGGTATGCAGCAAGTACTGGCTTGTTCAGGAGACTCTCCTCTACAGTTCCATTTTGGTGGAGGCCTTAGCATTGAACAGTTGTGTTGTTAAAGTGCCAAGTATGGAACTATCCGCAGATGGTCTGTCAATGCGACTTAAGCAATGTGCAGTCATTGAATTCTTAACAGAAGGTGTCACCCCACAGGAGATTCATCGGAGAATGCAAGCTGTTTATGGGGATCGTGTTGATGTGAGTACTGTGCGTCGTTGGGCGAGTACGTTTAAAGATGTTGAGGTGACAACTTCTGTTGTCAAGAATTCAATTACTGCATGTTGCTTAAGTTCCATTGACCGACCGTCTACGCAGGGTTCCATACTTCACACTTTAACAACACAACCGTTGTATTGTTGTGTTGTGTTTTGAAGCCTTGGCCTTTGTAAGCCGCATCGAGTCCTTTGGGAGATGCTAGCGGGGTACAAATAAAGTTAATAATAATAATAACCGTTCAATGCTAAGGCTTCCTGCCAAAATGGAACTGTAGAGGAGTCTCTCCTGAACAAGCCAGTACCTGCCGCATACATTGCTTAAGTCGCATTGACCGACTGTCTGCACAGGGTTCCATACTTAGCACTTTAACAGCACAACCGTTAAATGCTAAGGCTTCCTGCCAAAATGGAACTGTAGAGGAGTCTCCTGAACAAGCCAGTACCTGCTGCATACCAGTACTGCCATCTGTTGAGGAGTTACAAAGGTGGAGGCATTATTTTTCATTCAACCCTGGTATATATTATATATACAATTCTGTGGGGTTCCTTGCTCAATCAGGAAGGCAACCTAACATCCCCCAACCCGACAAAGTTAGGATACGTTCACACTAGAGACATTTAATGCAGCTTGAGTGCGACTGCACAGGTAGCAATCTGTGTAATCATACAGGGCTGCAGTCTTAACAGTGTAGTTAAGAGTTAACCCTGGGTGACCCACCTCCCAACCCGCCTCCCTTATGAACTTTAGATGGCCTTAAATGACCTGATGTCTCTTAGCCAAAACCTTACAACTGCAGTAGTGCAAAAATGGCTTGTTTTGAATACTCCGGTTGTCATTACAAATCCTTATAAGCTGCCTTGTTTTAAATTCAAGCATTGCTATCGGTATTTGCAAAAGAAAGTCTTGGATCAATGAAAACCCACCACCGTTTTGCAGATACTTTTGCTTTTAATTAGTTGGGAGAGGTTTTGCATAGCGAGACCGCTTCTCACACGGTTCCAGAGGATATTATATAGCAGACATTCACACATGGGAGCAGTCCCAGCTGTCTGTTTTGCCCACCGAGTATCTCCTTACAGTTGAAGGGTCAGAGCTGAGTGTGTGCTTTGCCTCAGCAAAAAGTTCTTGCTTCGGTCCCTGGAAACTCCAGTCATGGCCAGTAAAAACTGACAATAATGTTAGAGCAAGTCTGGGCCAACTTGGGATCTCTGGATGTTTTGGACTTCAACTCCCACTATTCCTAACAGCCTCAGGCCCTTTCCTTTTCACACTGAGGCATATCTCACACTGAGGCCTACCTCAGACTGATGCCTCAGTCACTGAGGTGTTTCTCTGTCTGAGGGCTACTAAGCTACATGCACACCTGCTTATATTGAACTGCTTAAGCAGCTGAGGGGGAAAAGGAAAGGGGGACTCCAACTCCCACCATTCCTAACAGCCTCAGGTCCTTTCCTTTTCACACTGAGGCATCTCTCACACTGATGTCTCACTCCCTGAGGCATTTCTCTCAGTCTGAAGGCTACTAAGCTACATGCACACCTGCTTATATTGAACTGCTTAAGCAGCTGAGGGGGAAAAGGAAAGGGGGACTCCTACTCCCACTATTCCTAACAGCCTCAGGCCCTTTCCTTTTCACACTGAGGCATCTCTCACACTGAGGCCTACCTCAGACTGATGCCTCACTCACTGAGGCATTTCTCAAGTGAAAATTATCAGTCATGGCCAGTAAAAATGGACAATAAGGCTAGAGCAAGTCTGGGCCAACTTGGGATCTCTGGATGTTTTGGACTTCAACTCCCACCATTCCTAACAGCCTCAGGCCCTTTCCTTTTCACACTGAGGCATCTCTCACACTGAGGCCTACCTCAGACTGATGCCTCACTCACTGAGGCATTTCTCAAGTGAAAATTATCAGTCATGGCCAGTAAAAATGGACAATAAGGCTAGAGCAAGTCTGGGCCAACTTGGGATCTCTGGATGTTTTGGACTTCAACTCCCACCATTCCTAACAGCCTCAGGCCCTTTCCTTTTCACACTGAGGCATCTCTCACACTGAGGCCTACCTCAGACTGATGCCTCACTCACTGAGGCATTTCTCAAGTGAAAATTATCAGTCATGGCCAGTAAAAATGGACAATAAGGCTAGAGCAAGTCTGGGCCAACTTGGGATCTCTGGATGTTTTGGACTTCAACTCCCACCATTCCTAACAGCCTCAGGCCCTTTCCTTTTCACACTGAGGCATCTCTCACACTGAGGCCTACCTCAGACTGATGCCTCAGTCACTGAGGTGTTTCTCTGTCTGAGGGCTACTAAGCTACATGCACACCTGCTTATATTGAACTGCTTAAGCAGCTGAGGGGGAAAAGGAAAGGGGTGTTCCAACTCCCACCATTCCTAACAGCCTCAGGCCCTTTCCTTTTCACACTGAGACCTCACTTCCTGAGGTGGAAAAGGAAAGGGGGACTCCAACTCCCACAATTCCTAACAGCCTCAGGCCCTTTCCTTTTCACACTGAGGCATCTCTCTCACACTGAGGCCTACCTCAGACTGATGTCTCACTCCCTGAGGCATTTCTCTCAGTCTGAAGGCTACTAAGCTACATGCACACCTGCTTATATTGAACTGCTTAAGCGGCTGAGGGGGGAAAGGAAAGGGGGACTCCAACTCCCACAATTCCTAACAGCCTCAGGCCCTTTCCTTTTCACACTGAGGCCTACCTCAGACTGATGCCTCATTCCCTGAGGCGTTTCTCTCAGTCTGAAGGCTACTAAGCTACATACACACCTGCTTACATTGAACTGCTTAGGCAGCTGAGGAGGAAAAGGAAAGGGCTTGAGGCTGTTAGGAATGCTGGGAGTTGAAGTCCAAAACACCTGGAGAGCCCAAGTTTGCCTGGGCTAGAGAAACAGTCTCAATTACCTATCGACTTAAACATAGATGAGCAAGAAACCAATGTTGTTTATCTCAATGTTGTTCATGCCAATATAGATCAGCATGAGTAAAATAAATCTCAAAAAACCATACGGATGTTAAAAACGATTTTTAATCAAGATTACATTTTTCAAGACCAACGTCAAGAAAAAAAGAATCTTCACAGAAGTTGGAACTTTACTGCCAATCCAGGCATGTGTAAAAAAATAATAAGTTACGGAACAAATATCTTCACAAGAATCCACCAGCCTCTTCTTTAATTCTGTAAAAAGAAAAAATATATATAAGTGACTACTTTATATATATATATATTAAGCAGGAGGGTTAGAATCACACCACTAAGTTACTGAAAAACGTTTGAAATTTTCCAGTAGTAATCTCTTCAGTAATACCCCCTTCAGCCCCTTTAAAGTAATTGGGAGTTCCTGACTTAGGAAAAGTAAAATGACAGAGGGAAAAAAGGGGCATACAAGTATTTTGAATGAAGCCGTGTGTCAATGTATTAGGCTTTAGAAACTGTATCTACACTTTATTGCGCAAGTCCCAATATATAGACTTACTGTATATACTGGAATATAAGCAGTTTTTCAGCCCTTTTTTAAGGTTAAAAAAGCTCCCCTCAGTTTATACTTGAGTCAAACTAATTTATTATTTTACTCTGTTGTTGTTATTATTATTATTATATTTACGGTATTATTTTACTCTATTATTTTTATTACATTATTTTACTCTATTGTATTTTTATAATAATAATAAAACTTTATTTGTACCCCGCTACCATCTCGCCAAGGGACTCGGTGCGGCTTACATGAGGCCGAGCCCAAATACAACAATACAAGCAATAACAACAACAATACAAGCAATTAAAATAAAACATGGACAATACAATAATGGAACATTAACAATAAAATCACACAATTAAAAACTATTTTTCTTTATTATTATTACAGATATTTATTATTGTTATTATTACATTTATTATTTTCTGTTATTATTTTTATTACATTTATTATTTTACTCTATAATATTATCACATTTCTATTATTTTACTACTCTATTACTACGTTTTCTCTATTATTATTACATGTAATATTTCACTCTTTATTATTATTTTAAGCGGAAAGCTACGTAAGCACATTTACCTTGAAGGAGGTTGGAATAATGGTTTAATCAGAGTTGGGCAGTCTTATCTTAAATTACAGTTTTATGTAAATACTAGCTGTCCCCTGCTACACGTTGCTGTAGCCCAGTCTGTGTATACGTGTTTTGTGTGTGTGTGTGTATGTGTGGTTCTGCGCATGCATTGTAATGTATTTTTTTAAAAAAATTGGCTTTTTAAGTCTTTTCTGCTGTGTTTTTCTGAGTGATGGTCACTCATTAGCCTGATAGGTGTATTGTGTCCAAATTTGGTGTCAATTTGCCCAGTGTTTTTTGAGTTATGTTAATCCCACAAACAAACATTACATGATTCAAAAACATTTAACTGACCAAAGCCTCAATTAATGTAATTTTATTGGTATCTATTTCTATTTTGGCTTATACTCAAGTCAATACGTTTTCCGAGTTTCTGTGGCAAAATCAGATGCCTCAGTTCATATTCATGTCAGCTTATACTCGAGTATAAATTGCTCATCCCAAAAACCTGTAGGAATATGGCCTATTTTCCATCCTCAAAACTAAATGCCATTCTTACCAGCATCTTCATCTGTTCTTCTATGTTGTTCTGGATATGCCCATAGATTTCATTGAAGAGCTCCTCCCTGGATTTTGTCCCATCCAAATGAACTGAAATATAAAAGATGGATGCAATTCTGTAAACTGAGATAATCCAGTTTTTTTAAGTACTTCTATTTTTATGCTTGACAGGCACACAGATTTGCATAACCAAAGTATTGCAAAATCAGGCCAGTGCAAGCTTAAGAAGAATGTCGCTCTTATATAAAGCTGTCATGCCGGAAGAGAAGTAATTGCATATTCATAACAGGTTTTTTTGTATCAGGAGCGACTTGAGAAACTGCAAGTCACTTCTGGTGTGGGAGAATTGGCCGTATGCAAGGATGTTGCCCAGGGAATGCCTGGATGTTTGACATTTTATCATCCTTGTGGGAGGCTTCTCTCATGTCCCCTCAAGGGGAGCTAGAGCTGACAAAGGGAGCTCAACCTGCTCTCCCCAGATTCGAACTGCTGACCTGTCGGGCAGCAGTCCTGCCAGCACAAGGGTTTCACCCATTGCACCACTTCGGGCTCCATTCATAACAGTGACAAATATACTAAACATACTACAGAGCTGGGAACCAATGTTTTAGACCATAGATGGTCCTTGAAGTAACTTCCAAGTCAATGGTTCTAGGAGAAATGGGCAGCCACAAACTCTTTTATTCATAACTAGCTTGGGGACCCGGCGCTGCCCGGGTTATTAGAGAAAGTGGGTAATGGCGGTTCTGTATGCCAAATTTGGTCTTTATTGGTCATTGTTTTCAGGAAGTGAGTGAAGGAACTTGAAGTCCCATCATCCATTGTCCGTCCTCCTCCAAACAGCATCGGGATGTAGAGTGGGTCAAGGTGGCTCTGTGTGCCAAGTTTGGTCTTGATCGGACATTAGTAAGGGTTGCAGCAGTCTTGGGAAGGGAGTGGAGGTACTTGAAGTCCCATCATCCATGGTCTGTCCTCCTCGAAAGTGCACCAGGATGTAGAGTGGGTCATGGGGACTCTGTGTGCCAAGTTTGGTCTTGATCAGTCATTGGCGAGGGTCTCAGTGGTCTCAGGAAGTGAGTGAAGTGACTGCAAGTCCCATCATCCATTGTCAAATTCTTCCAATCCGCACCAGGATGTAGAGTGGGTCATGTGGGCTCTCTGTGTAAATTGTGGTCCTGATCCATCATTGTTGGCAGTTGTAATGGTCTTAGGAAGGGAGTGCAGGTATTGCAAGTTCCATCGTCCATGGTGCATCCTCCTCCAAACTGCACCAGGATGTAGAGTGTCATGGAGACTCAGTGTGCCAAGTTTGGTCTTTATCGGTAATTGGATGAGGGTTGCAGTGGTCTCAAGAATTGAGCAAAGGTACTGCAAGTCCCATAATCCATGGTCCATCCCCGGCCAAACCACACCAGGACGTAAAGTGGGTCATGAGAGGTCTATGTTCCAAGTTTGGTCCTGATCAGTCATTGGATGAGGTTAACAGCGGTCTCAGAATGTGAGTGATGGTACTGCAAGTCCCATCATCCATGGTTGCAGTAGGATGTCAAGTCGGTCTTGCAGGCTCTGTGTGCCAAGTGTGGTCTGTATTGGTAATTCTCTGACTCAGCCCCCTCTGGCCCTTTCCTTTCCTCTCTTTGTCATCTCGGAATCTTGGAATTGAGGCTGGCCAATCAGAGACCATATGCAAATTTCCTTCTCATGTCCCCGTTTCTTCCATGAACTCTTTTCTCCACCAGGGGCTCCTATTGAAGCTGGCCAATCAGAGACCATATGCAAATAGCACCACTGTGGCAGCCAATCAGAATGTTGGAACTTTCAGGCTGGCCAATCAAAACGCTGGCACATACTCCTCCCGTCGCACCGCCACACTTTTGTCCGCCGCATACAAACTTTCACCTTTATTATATACATAGATAATGAGGTTGAAATTCAAGGCCCTTTCATACACTGAAAAAATAAATTCTGAGGTTTCATTAACCAACTGTGACAACACAATAAAATCAGGTAATATTTATTGTTTTTTTTTTATTTACGACATTTATATGCCACCCTTCTCACTCTGAAGGGGACTCAGAGCAGCTTACAAGATATATATACATGCAATATACTATATTAGCATAGTACAATATTAGTATTAAATATTACTATATTGTACTATACCATTATATTGTAATATTATTAATAATATTTCATGTAACATAAATACATAATTATATCATATTATTATTAGTATATTGCATTATATTATAATATTATAAATACATGTATATACAATATATTATATTACATTAATATATTACTTTAATGTAATAGAACCTTAACAGCCAATAGCTTTAAATCAGTGGTTCTCAAGCCTGTAACAAAACAGCTATCAACAGGTCACATAGTCAAAAGGAGAGAGAGAGCATGTGGTCTGCAGCCCCTTTTTAACTTCTCAGAAACCATACTCAACCTGTGGGTCCCCAGGTGTTTTGGTCTACAACACCCAGAAATCCCAGCCAGTTTACCAGCTGTTAGGATTTCTGGGAGTTGAAGGCCAAAACATCTGGGCACCCACAAGTTGAGAACCACCGCTTTAAACATTCCTGAAGACTTTTGTCACTGAAGGTCCAGTATATATAAAGGAAACACAATTCATTACCAGCTTGACTGAATGAAGTGTTGCATTTACGAAGAGACCCAATTCAGCTCACCTGCATCAACGTTAAGATCTTCCATTACTTTCTTGTGCTTGACGTACATGGGCCAGACATGACCATCGAACAAGCCAGGGGGATCTGGAACAGTGTAATTCCTTGAACTGGACAGAAGGTTGAGGGGAAAAAAATCAACTCAAGTTTGCAATTCAGAAATTTGGAGACTGCTTTAACCCTGTGAAGTTCTGGAATCCATAGCCTTGCGGTCCTTTTCACATCTACAAGTCCATGATTCTAAACCCACCTATGTATTCAGTGACATTTTACATGTTGGAACGAGAGCTTGAAAACTGTAGTCCCAGAAGCTACCTGTCAATTTCCAACCAGTATCTCTGTACTATTGATCACCCTAGTTTGGCTGGGTTTGGGGAGTTTTGGCACCCCCCCCCCCCAATAACCCTTCTAAGCCCCAAATAGAGCAACTTGACAAAAATATTTCCCATTTATTTTTGTGTAAACAGGGTTACCTTCTCCTCTTCTTGCATTCGTCATAGGGAATTGAAAGAAAGTACCGGACGTCAAAGACATCGATCAAAGGCCTGGAAAAAAAGGGAAAGGGGCATCTTGATTTGTACCAAACATTACACAAATGCAATTTTCCAATGCTAACAATTGTTCATGAAGTACTTGGTCCTTTAGGAATAGAATCATACAGTTGGAAGAGACCTCAAGGGTCATCCAGTCCAACCTCCTGCCAGAAAGTAGGAAAATTGCACTCAAAGCATCCTTGACAGATGGCCATCCAGCCTCTGTTTAAAAGCCTCCAAAGAAGGAGCCTCCACCACATTCCAGGGCAGAGACTTCCACTGCTGAACAGCTCTCACACTCAGGAAGTTCTTCCCTTTGTTGCCCATTCAGTTAGCTTAAAGGCATGCTTTAGGGCACTTAGGGTGTTCAATGTCCTGAATATTAGTAGGTGATATAGCACCAGCGCTAAATCAGAATCTTTGGCGAATGTTATTGTTGGGCGAGTGGGTTTATTAACCCTCGTCATAAATGTACAGCAGTGTAACTTATCAGCAGCAGTGTGACCCAGAACACCAGCAGCCCAAAGTGATAAAAACAAAAACACACATAGGAGGCTTTTCTTTGTAGTAAAATAATATGGTTGCACTATTTATAAAAACAAGGTTTCTATAACACAAATAAAGTGCTTTACATTTCCTTCTTTACTTCCACGCTGGACTTCTTTCTTATGCAGATAAACAACTTTGCTCTCACAAAATTATGGAAATACACAGCTTCACATAGTAACTTTACACACAGCTGAACACACGAGGCCTTTAACCTAGGGCTTCTTTCAACGAAGCTTCTCACACCAGGCCTTCTCATAGACTAAGACAGGGCTCCACAAACTTTTTAAACAGAGGGCCAGGTCACAATCCCTCAAACTGTTGGAGGGCCGGATTATAATTTGAAAAAAAAAAACAAAACAAAAACATGAATTCCTATGAACACTGCACATATCTTATTTGTAGTGTAAAAAACATTTTAAAATGATACAATAATTAAAATGAGGAACAATGTTATGTTAACAAATATTTATTATTTATTTATTTATTACAGGTACTTTTACCCCGCCCTTCTCAACCCCTGAGGGGGGACTCAGGGTGGCTTACAAAAAAGGCACAATTTGATGCCTATACACTTTACACATAATATACAAAACCGTAGTTAAAAAGTTATCACAATTAAAACAATCCACAACTAGTACATAACACATCATATAAAAACTATTCTCGTTCTCAGCAAGAATAAGTTTATACTAATATAAACTTATTACTATTTCAACGGGAAATGTGGGCCTGCTTTTGACTGATGAGATAGGATTGTTGTTGTGTGTTTTCAAGTAGTTTCAGACTTAGGTTGACCCTGAGTGAGGGCCGGATAAATGACCCTGGAAGGCTGCACTTGGCCCCCGGGCCTTAGTTTGAGGACCTCTGGACTAAGGCTTATCTCACACTGTGAGGCCTACCTCACACAGAGGCTTCCCTCACAGACTAAGGCCTACCTCACACTGTGAGACCTTCTCACATGACTGAAACCGTTCTCCCACTGAGGCTTACCTCAGACTAATGGCTACTAAGCTACAGGAACACTTTCTTATACTGAACTGGAGCTTTTGCGGATTCATTGCATTCATTTAACCCTTTCAGTGCTTGACTCACATTTTTGTAATTAAAAATACCTAGTAATTTTTTAGTATTTCTGACAGTTATGACTTTTCCCGCTGTAGCAAAAAAAGCTTCCCATTCATTCCAATCTGCTTTGTCTTAGTTTTAAGCTAGAGACAGATCCAGACAGGCTTTCCCACCCTGCTACCACTGAGCTTTACTCAAGAGCCTTTGATATATCAGAAAAAACCACTGAAAATCTAAATGTGAAATTAATGAGTTTGGGTCATGCAATAAAACAGCACACCTTCAGATTTATAATATTATAATGTAATGCAATATAATACTAATAATATATTATAATTATATATTTATATTACATGTAATATAACTAGTAATATTACAATATAATGGTATAGTACAATATAGTAACATTTAATACTGATACTGTACTATGCTAATAATATAATATATGTCTGTGTGTTATTTATTTACATTTATATGCTGTCCTTCTCACCCTGAAGGGGACTCAGAGCGGCTTACAATACATACACACATATATATTGTAAGCCGCTCGGGGTGAGAAGGGCAGCAAATAAATGTCGTAAATAAATAAATTAGTAGTCCTCCTATATATATATCATCCTACTTTTAGTTACCTGTAAGTATAAAGTAAGAATCCTTCCACAATAAGGATATGGATGCTGTCGTCGTTCTCTCCCGAGTCCTCTATAGTTCTGGTATCGAGCGTGTTAATGCCATGCGAGCGTTCAAATTTGACTGGGTTTTTCTTCCAAGCATTGATGGTACTCATCATGGCATCCATATCCAAAGCGCTGATCACTGAGACGAAAGAGAAGCCGGGTTTTGAGGTCCAAAGGAAGAAACGTTGCACATCAAACGCATGAAACACCTAATCTCAAGCAACTACTGACTCAGATTCCATTCCGTAATGTATTTTCAATTCACATTCTATTTAATAAGACCAATTCCAGAGCTAGAGCTGTAACATTTTATAACAACGACATCTAGTTCCCGCACGGGTATAAACAGAACTTACCATCGTACTGTTTAAATCCATCTTCCACCTCTATCTCATCCTGGGGCTGAAACAGAACAAAAACTGTCGGCAGAGCTGCTCACAAATACCAATGCTTATTTTAGAAGAGCCAGAGATAAAATGCCTGTTGAAACAAGACATGCCTGTACCTCAATAGCTTTCAAGAGAGATTAAAGCTGGACCTCTTCATAAACTTAGGTAGTGCAGAACTGGAAGGCACTTCTGCCTTTATCTCACTACTAGCAGGCATACCTAGCTTATTCTCAAAACAGAAAAGTCATCTGACCAGCGGCACCCTGGGATCTTATCCACTGAGTGCAGAACAACAACTGTGCCCTAGCATTAGTCATACATCTTAATGAAGACAAAATTCAAGCACCAGGCAGGACTGAATAACATAACACTCCATTTAGGATTGTGCTGTTGTGGATGTGTTTTAACTATGTTGTGCCCTGCCTCAAGCTATAAGGAGAAGCAGGTATTATTATTATTTATAGAGAAGGGGGCATTTTTCATGCACAGCAGACTGATTCAGCATCAATTCAAAGGAGGCACACAGTCTTTTGCTATAGAGGTCATGTGCTAATATGGCCAAGGAGGAAGAGACTTAATTTGCAAACCAGCTGGGATGCAAACTAGGTGTCTCTTTTGGTTAAGGAAACAAATCAAAGGCCAACTAAATAATGACACAGGTGTGTTTAAAACGGCTACCTAAATCCTGAGCAGGCTGCTTCTGATTCCAGGTGTATTTATTATTATTATTATTATTATTATTATTATTATTATTATTAGAAACGCAACAAAGAGTCCACAAGATCATTCTGCTGGTTGTTGTATTGGATCACACGTCGGACACTTCCCAAGTGTCTAGGACTGTGTGATGTATCGGCAAATAATGCATGCAGATCCCAGTAAGGTGGCCTTCTGCAGCTGGCAGATGGTTAATTTGTCAGCGCCGATTGTATTTAAGTGCAGGCCAAGGTCTTTAAGTACTGCACCCAGTGTGTCGACCACCACTGGGACCACCTTTACTGGCTTGTCCCAGAGTCTTTGCAATTCAAACTTTAAATCATTATTATATACACAAGATTAGTACACAGCAAACAAGATCACTACGCTGAGTTTTGTATTTGTTTGCACATCGGACACTTCCCAAGTGTGTGATATACCGGCAAATTATTGCGGTGTCGCAATGGGTTAAACTCTTGTGTTGGCAGGACTGCTGACCGATAAGTCAGCTGTTCGAATCCAGGGAGAGCAGGTTGAGATCCCTTTTGTCAACTCAGCTCTCCATGCGAGGACATGAGAGAAGCCTCCCACGAGGATGATAAAACATCAAACATCTGGGCATCCTCTGGGCAATATCCTTGCAGACAGCCAATTCTCTCAAACCAGAAGCAACTTGCAGTATCTCAAGTCACTACTGACTTTTTTCAAGTCAGTAGTGCGTGCAGATCCAACTAGGGTGGCTTTTTGCAGCTGACAGATGGTAATTTTGTCAGCACCAATTGTTTTAAGTGCATGCCAAAGTCTTTAGGCACTCTACCCAGTGTGACAATCACCACTGGGACCACCTTTACTGGCTTGTGCCAGAGTTGTTGTTGTTATTATTATTATTATATCATCCACAAATGTGTTTTATCTATAACTGAGTTTTAAAAGTAAAAACAAGTTTTTACAAAAAGCTTTTAAGAAGGAGGACTATAGAAAACAGAGGCTAGCAGCACCCTGAACTGAAATCCCTTCTGTTGTTAAAACTGGGTGCCCTGCCTCATTTTTTCTATGTCAGCAGATCTCTGTAATTAAACTACTCATGACACTGCCACATAGTTTAGAACTGGGGTCCACAAACCTTTTAAACAGAGGGCCAGGTCACAGTCCCCCAACTTTTGGAGTGTCAGATTATAATTTGAAAAAACCATGAATGAATTCCTATGCACACTGTACATATCTTATTTGGAGTGCAAGAAACACTTAAAAACAATATAATAATTAAAATGAAGAACAATTTTAATAAATATAAACCTATTAGTATTTAAATGAGAAGTGTGGGCCTGCTTTTGGTTGATGAGATAGGATTGTTATTGTTGTATGTTTTCAAGTCATTTCAGTCTTAGGTTGACCCTGAGCAACGGCTGGGTAAATGACCTTGGAGGGCCATATCTGGCCCCTGGGCCATAGTTTGCGGACCCCTGGTTTAGAATCTCATTCTCTGCTGGGTTATTTAAAGTTACAATTCTCTACCAAAACAAACTTCTGGCCAAGCAATATTTATATAAGCTTCTATAGACATAAGCATACTTGGATATGTGTCTATAACATGGGATGTGGAAAACCAAGGCCCCCCTCCCCAAACCTCCCAAAACACAAGTATCATGTTATAGTCACATTTAAGTCACATTCTGAGATTAAATCTCAACAATTTCTTCTTGCTTAGACACAATAAAGATAGAAACGAAATGTGTAAACATAGTAAACCACACTGACTGTACTGAAAGTGTCATAAAACATCATCCACTTTCAGAAATACAAATCAATTCACAAAGGGGCCTTATAAAGTAAATGAATTGGCCCTTGCAGATTGCTAAAGATACCAGGAATTCATACACAGTACAGTTAAAACAAATTCAGGTTTCAGCACAAACTAAGAGATGAATTTTTCCTAAAATGTATGTGTGCCCTGTAATTCAGAATATACAGATCCAAGTACCTATGAGTAAATGCTCCATTCAGTAGCTATTTGCATAATAATAATAATAATAATAATAATAATCATCATCATCATCATCATCATAATCATCATCATCATCATAATATCTAATAAAAAGATGGGGGTTGGGGAAAGAAAGAGTATACAAACTCAGCTGCTGGCCTCACCTTAAAGAAGTTGTCTTGATGCACAACACTGCAGTTGGGCAGCGCCTGCATGAGTTTGTTAGTCACGGTGGTCTTCCCGCCGTTGGTGATCCTAAACAGAAGATGGGGAAGAAACACTTGAATATGCAGAATCATGAAGCAGGCAAGAAACAACAGGAAATTCTGCAGACAATCCTACTTCCTGTTTCTGTATCTGAATTTAGTAGCTATGCAATATATTTGCGTAATACTGTAATGTTTTGTTATTGCTTATGTTTTTAATTTGCTTTGTATCGTATTGTTATTGTCTGTGTGTTGTGTTGAGGCCTTGGCCTTTGTAAGCCGCATCGAGTCCTTCGGGAGATGCTAGCGGGGTACAAATAAAGTTTAATAATAATAATAATAATAATAATAATATATTCTAAATACTGCCACTTGCTTCCCTTCAGGCACAAAATGGCTGCCTTTCCTTATCATTTTCTGTACATCGCCGAATCATGTAGGTGTGTAAATATATGTATTAGTTTGTGTACCTATCTATACACACATACATGCCATATATATTTCAGATTAAGAGATACTCAGCCTGCATTTATAATATGTGTGTGTGAGTGTGGGTGGTAGAGATAGGAATATACTTGCTTTCTAGAAGTCCAAACCTTTTTTTATATACGACGTTATTAAAAACACAGTACTGTGTATAAAACAATCTTCAGGCTTCACATGTAATATTGATAACATTATAATGTAATATCATAATACATAAATTTAATGCTTAGCCTTCAATCTCATTTTTATTATTATTGCATTTTATGTTTAGACTTGAATACTATCACAGGCAGTCCCCAAGTTACGAACAAGATATATTCCAAAATACAGAACATTTCAGAACCCAGAATTTCTAATAAGGGATACTCAACCTGTATATGTATATGGTCAATATAAAAGTAAGGGCCAGAGGGAAGGAGAGGTTTGACTATTGGACTATGGCTTCGGAGACTTGGGTTTGCAACTCTACTAAGCCAGGGAAGGTATTATTTGGCTTTGCACAGATAACACCTTCTCAGCCCCAGAGGAAGGTCAAGGCCAATCCCCTGAACAAAGCTGGCCAAGAAAACACTGTGATAAGTTCTCCTTGGGTCACTATCAGTCAGAAATGAAGACACAATAAAATGTAAGTTTGAAATACAACAGATACTTAGCCAGAATGACATAGTGATCTGAGTGCTGGACAATTAATTTTCAGACCAGAGTTCGAATCCCCTCCTCTGACATAGAAACTATTGGATGAGCTTGGGTAAGTCACAAACTCACAGCCTCAGAGGAAGGCAAATCCTCCTCAGAACTAATCTTGCCAAAAACTCATATATTTTAATGCTCTTATATGTTATCTGTGCATTTTAACTGTGCTGTATTCAAATACATTATTATTATTATTATTATTATTATTATTAAGAAAACTGCATAGTAAGGCACACCTTAAGCTTGCCATGGGTCAAAAATGACATGAAGACACACAATCATATATATGTGCTAATATACTAATATTGTGCTATACTAATAACATAATATATTGTATATTGCATTGTAGTACTATAACACAACATAGTAATATATAATACTAATATTGTGCTATAATAATATATTGTATAGTGCATTATAGTACTATAATACAATATAGTAACATATAATACTGATATTGTGCTATACTAATAATGTAATACATTGTATACACATGTAATATTGGTAATATTGTAATGTAATACAATAGAATACTAATAAGATAATATAATAATTATATATTATATATTGCAGTATATATGTAGTATTACTAATATTGCATTGTAGTAGTATATTACAATATAGTAATATATTATACTAATATTGTGCTATACTGATATGTTGTATATTGCATTGTAGTACTATAATACAACATAGTAACATAGAATACTAATATTGTGCTATACTAATAATATAATATATTTTATATTGCATTGAAGTACTATACAATATAGTAATATATAATACTAATATTGTGCTATAGTAATAATAGAATATACTGTATATTACATAGTGCTATAATACAACATAGTAATGTATTATACTAACATAGTGCTATACTAATAATATAATATATTGTATATTGCATTATAGTACTATAATACAATATACAATATTATACTAATATTGTGCTATACTAATAATATATTGTATATTGCATTGTGGTACTATAATACAACATAGTAATATATAATACTAATATTGTACTATACTAATAATATAATATATTGTATATTGCATTGTAGTACTTTAATACAACAATAATATATTATACTAATATTGTTCTATACTAATTTTATAATATATTGTATATTGCATTGTAGTACTATATATAATACTAATATTGTGCTATACTAATAATAGAATATATTGTATATTGCATTGTGGTACTATAATACAACATAGTAATATATTATTCTAATATTGTGCTGTACTAATATAATATGTATATTAAATTGTAGTACTATACTACAATATAGTAATATATATACTAACATAGTGCTATACTAATTTTATAATATATTGTATATTGCATTGTAGTACTATATATAATACTAATATTTAATACTAATATTATGCTATACTAATAATATAATATATTGTATACTGCATTGTAGTACTATACTACAATATATTAATATATAATACTAATATTGTGCTATACTAATAATATAATATATTGTATATTGCATTGTAGTACTATAATACAATATAGTAATATATTATAGTAATATTGTTCTATACTAATTTTATAATATATTGTATATTGCATTGTAGTACTATAAAACATAGTAATATATAATATTAATATTGTGCTATAATATTATAATATATTGTATATTACATTGTAGAACTACAATATAGTAATATATAGTACTAATATTGTGCTATACTAATAATATAATATATTGTATATTGCACTGTAGTACTATAATACAATATAGTATTATAGTAATATTGTTCTATACTAATTTTATAATATATTGCATTGTGGTACTATAATACAACATAGTAATATATAATACTAACATAGTGCTATACTAATAATATTATATATTGTATATTACATTGTAATATTATACTAATATTGTGCTATACTAATAATGTAATATATTGTATACAAATATATTACATTATTAGTAATGTAATATAATATTGATATTATAATGTAATATAATATAATACTAATAATATAATTGTATATTATATATTAAATGCAATATTACTAATATTACCTCGTAGTACTAATATAACTGCATATTGTATATTAAATGCAATATTACTAATAATATTGCCTTGTAGTACTATAATACAATATAGTAATATACAATACTAAGATGGTGCTATGCTAATAATATCATATATTGTATATGTACATATAACTTGTAAGCCTCTCTGAGTCCCCTTTTGGGGCGAGAAGGCCAGGAGATCCATGTCAATAGAGAAGGAGTCCCTGGGCGAGGCCTGCTGTCCTTCAGGGGCGCCAGGAAAAGGCCGGCCACGTGGGCGCGGGCCCAACTCACCCTCCGATGCCGATGATGACCTTCATGGCGGCGGTGGCGGCGTCTTCTTCCCTCTCAGGCTGTTCTTCGGAGGGCTGAGGGGATCCAAGGGGGGGAGGAAGGGGAGATGGCGGGAGGCGCGGGTCAGCTCACCAGGGCGGCCATCGTCTCTGAGGAACAGCAGCAGCAGCAGAAGCGTCCGCTCCGCTCCGAAGCTCGAGACGAAAGAAGAAGCCGCTCGCGCCGGCTTGCGGGGACCGCGCGCGCCCATTGGCTCCCGCGCGGACGCCTGCCCGCCAATCAGCGCTCTCGATAAGCAGCCAAATCTAAAACCGTTTCCCCCATCCAATCGGCAACAAGGATGGTGTAGGACGCCGCTTATGATTGGTCGAATCCTTCCCCTGCCCGGCCCGCGTCGATTCTTTTCCTCAGAGAGCCCTGAAGAGAAGTCGCCTGTTTCTCAGTGGGCGTGTCTACACCAGGCGTGGGCGAACTTGGGCCTTCTAGGTGTTTTGGACTACAACTCCCACAATTCCTATCAGCCTCAGCCCCTCTTTCCTTTTCATCATGCTCTGAATACGGGTGAACTATAACTCCCAGATGCTAAGGTCAATCACCCCCAAACCCCTTCTCTATTCCAAGTTGAGCATCTTGGGTCTGAATACAGGTGAACTATAACTCCCAGATTCCAAACCCCTCCTCTATTCCAAGTTGGGCATGTTGGGTCTGAATACGGGTGAACTATAACTCCCAGATTCCAAACCCCTCCTCTATTCCAAGTTGGGCATGTAGGGTCTGAATACGGGTGAACTATAACTCCCAGATTCCAAACCCCTCCTCTATTCCAAGTTGGGCATGTTGGGTCTGAATACGGGTGAACTATAACTCCCAGATTCCAAACCCCTCCTCTATTCCAAGTTGGGCATCTTGGGTCTGACTACAGGTGAACTATAACTCTCAGACTCCAAACCCCTCCTCTATTCCAAGTTGGGCATGTTGGGTCTGAATACAGGTGAACTATAACTCCCAGATTCCAAACCCCTCCTCTATTCCAAGTTGGGCATCTTGGGTCTGAATACAGGTGAACTATAACTCCCAGATTCCAAACCCCTCCTCTATTCCAAGTTGGGCATCTTGGGTCTGACTACAGGTGAACTATAACTCCCAGATTCCAAACCCCTCCTCTATTCCAAGTTGGGCATCTTGGGTCTGACTACAGGTGAACTATAACTCCCAGATTCCAAACCCCTCCTCTATTCCAAGTTGGGCATCTTGGGTCTGAATAGGTGAACTATAACTCCCAGATTCCAAACCCCTCCTCTATTCCAAGTTGGGCATCTTGGGTCTGACTACAGGTGAACTATAACTCTCAGACTCCAAACCCCTCCTCTATTCCAAGTTGAGCATCTTGGGTCTGAATACAGGTGAACTATAACTCCCAGATTCCAAACCCCTCCTCTATTCCAAGTTGGGCATGTTGGGTCTGAATACGGGTGAACTATAACTCCCAGATTCCAAACCCCTCCTCTATTCCAAGTTGGGCATGTTGGGTCTGAATATGGCTGAACTATAACTCCCAGAGAAGCTGAAGAGATCAAGAGAAGGTGGCGAGACTATACAGAAGATCTGTATAGGAAGGATAATAATATTGAGGATAGTTTTGACGGTGTGGTGAATGAATTAGAACCAGACATCCTGAGGAGTGAGGCTGAATGGGCCTTAAGAAGCATTGCTAACAACAAGGCAGCAGGAGACGACGGGATCCCAGCTGAACTGTTTAAAATCTTAAAAGATGATGCTGTCAAGGTGATGCATGCCATTTGCCAGCAAATATGGAAAACACAAAAATGGCTATCAGACTGGAAAAAATCAACTTATATCCCCATACCAAAAAAGGGAAATGCGAAAGACTGCTCAAACTTCCGTACAGTGGCCCTTATTTCTCATGCCAGTAAGGGAATGCTCAAGATCCTGCAAGGAAGACTCCAGCAATACATGGAGAGAGAGTTGCCAGATGTTCAAGCTGGGAAAAGGCAGAGGAACCAGAGACCAGATTGCCAATATCCGGATGCTGGATAATGGAGAAAGGCAGGGAGTTTCAGAAAAACATCTATTTCTGCTTCATTGACTATTCTAAAGCCTTTGACTGTGTGGATCATCATAAATTGTGGCAAGTTCTTGGTGGTCTGTATGGAGATCCCAGGCCACCTTGTCTCTCTCCTGAGGAATCTGTACAAGGACCAAGTCGCAACAGTAAGAACTGACCACGGAACAACAGACTGGTTCAAGATTGGGAAAGGCGTCCGGCAAGGCTGCATACTCTCACCCAACCTCTTTAACTTGTATGCAGAACACATCATGCGAGGATGTGCGGGGCTTGACGAATGCAAGGCTGGGGTTAAAATTGCTGGAAGAAACATTAACAACCTCAGATATGCAGATGACACCACTCTGATGGCCGAAAGCGAGGAGGAGCTGAGGAGCCTTCTAATCAGGGTGAAAGAAGAAAGCGCAAAAGCTGGGTTGCAGCTAAACATAAAAAACCAAGATTATGGCAACAAGAATGATTGACAACTGGGAAATAGAGGGAGAAATGTGGAGGCCGTGACAGACTTTGTATTTCTAGGTGCAAAGATGACTGCAGATGCAGACTGTGGCCAGGAAATCAGAAGACGCTTCCTTCTTGGGAGGAGAGCAAGGACCAGTCTCGATAAAATAGTAAAGAGTAGAGACATCAGACTGGCAACAAAGATCCATTGCCTAGTCAAAGCCATGGTCTTCCCTGTAGTCACCTACGGATGTGAGAGCTGGACCTTAGGGAAGGCTGAGCGAAGGAAGATCGATGCTTTTGAGCTGTGGTGTTGGAGGAAAGTTGTGAGAGTGCCTTGGACTGCGAGAAGATCCAACCAGTCCATCCTCCAGGAAATAAAGCCCGACTGCTCATTGGAGGGAAGGATACTAGAGACAAAGTTGAAGTACTTTGGCCACATCATGAGAAGAAAGGAAAGCTTAGAGAAGACAATGATGCTGGGGAAAGTGGAAGGCAAAAGGAAGAGGGGCCGACCAAGGACAGGCACCTGCTTGTCCTATTTTGATGGATTCTTTTCAGTTTGTGAAGCCCGAGGATGTGGACAAGATACTTGGAGGAATGAGGCCCACCACGTCCATCCTAGACCCCTGCCCATCCTGGCTTCTGAAGGAGGCCAGAGGGGGATTGGCTGAGTGGGTAACGGTGGTGGTCAACGCCTCCCTTCGGGAAGGCAAGATTCCAGCGAGCCTAAAACAGGCTATTATAAAACCGCTGTTGAAGAAACCATCACTGGACACCACTAAATTGGACAACTTTCGGCCTGTTTCCAATCTTCCCTTTTTGGGCAAAGTCATGGAAAGCGTGGTGGCCTCACAACTCCAGGTATTCTTGAGAGACACGGATTATCTGGATCCAGCACAGTCTGGTTTCAGACCGGGACATGGAACCGAGACGGTCTTGGTCGCCTTAGTGGATGATCTGCGCCGGGAGCTAGACAGGGGGAGTGTGTCCCTGTTGGTGCTCCTGGACCTCTCAGCGGCCTTCGATACCGTCGACCACGGTATCCTTCTGGGGCGCCTTGCGGAAATGGGTCTTGGGGGCACTGCTCTGCAGTGGCTCCAGTCATTTCTGGAGGGCCGCACCCAGAAGGTGTTATTGGGGGACTCCTGTTCAACACCACAGCCTTTGACCTGTGGGGTTCCACAGGGCTCTATACTGTCCCCCATGCTGTTTAATATCTACATGAAGCTGCTGGGTGAGATCATCCGGAGTTTCGGGGTGCGGTGTCATCTGTACGCAGATGATGTCCAACTCTGTCACTCCTTTCCACCTGCTACTAAGGAGGCTGTCGAGGTCCTGAACCGGTGCCTGGCCGCTGTAATGGTCTGGATGAGGGCGAACAAACTGAAATTAAATCCAGACAAGACAGAGGTACTCCTGGTCAGTCGCAAGGCCGAACAGGGTATAGGGTTACAGCCTGTGCTGGACGGGGTCGCACTCCCCTTGAAGGCGCAGGTTCGCAGCTTGGGTGTGACCCTGGATTCATCATTGAGCCTGGATCCCCAGGTTTCAGCGGTGACCAGGGGAGCATTCGCACAGCTTAGGCTCGTGCGCCAGCTGCGCCCGTACCTTGGGAAGTCTGACTTGGCCATGGTGGTACACGCTCTGGTCACATCCCGCCTTGACTACTGCAACGCTCTCTACGTGGGGCTGCCCTTAAAGATGGCCCGGAAGCTTCAGCTAGTCCAGCGCGCGGCAGCCATGTTACTAACAGGAGCGGGACGCAGGGAGCATACAACGCCCTTGCTGTCCCAGCTCCACTGGCTGCCGATTTGCTACCGGGCCCAATTTAAGGTGCTGGTGTTATCCTACAAAGCCCTAAACGGTTCCGGCCCAAAATACCTTTCGGACCGCATCTTGGCCTATGAGCCCACGAGGACCTTGAGATCGTCTGGGGAGGCCCTTCTCTCGATCCCGCCTGCTTCACAGGCACGTCTGGCGGGGACGAGAGAAAGGGCCTTCTCGGTGGTGGCCCCCCGGCTGTGGAACGACCTCCCTGCTGACATCAGACAGGCGCCTTCCCTTCTGTCCTTCCGAAAGAGCCTGAAGACCTGGCTATTTGAGAAGGCATTCAACTGAGCGCTACGGCAACTGGTAATTGACAACTGGAACGGAATACGGATTACGATATTGGTTATGATTCTATGATGTGACGGAGCGGATTATTTAGTGTAACTAGATTATAGTGTATTATTGTTGTATTGATTCCCTGTTTTGCCCTTTTTGTAAACTGTTTTTATATGTTGTGCACCGCCGCGAGTCGCCCTAGGGCTGAGAGCGGCGGTCAATAAATGCAGTAAATAAATAAATAAATAATAATAATGGCATCCTTGAAGTGACTGGACTGACCTTGAAGGAGCTGGGGGTGGTGACCTTGAAGGAGCTGGGGCTGGACTGACCTTGAAGGAGCTTGAGGGAGCTCTGGCGTGGGTTGGTCCATGAGGTCACGAAGAGTCGGAGATGACTGAACGAATGAACAACAACACACACACACATATATATATATACACACACACATATATTATGTTATAAACATTATTATTATGTTTCTTTATACCCCGCCTTTTCCCTCTACAAAGGAGACTCAAATTTGACATCATCTGCGCCTTACATTGAACCACCTTTTCCAGTATAAAT